TGTGTGTGTGTGTGTGTGTGTGTGTGTGTGTGTGTGTGTGTGTGTGTACATGAGTGTACGTATGTATGTACAACTACATGAGTCTGTGTGAACGTATGTGTATGAGTGTGTGAATGAATGTATGTGTATATGTATGTGTGTGAGTACATGTGTGAGTGTATGTGTGTGAGTACATAAGTATAAGTACAGTGTGTGTGAGTACATGAGTGTGTGTGAGTATGAGTGTGAGTGTGTGTGCGTGTATGTGAGTGCAAGTATGTGAGTACATGAGTGATTGTGTGAATGGATGTGTGTGTGAGTGCATGAGTGAGTGTAAGTATGTGAGTACATGAGTGATTGTGTGAATGGATGTGTGTGTGAGTACATGAGTGTGTGAGCATGTGTGCAGTGGGAGATCATTACAGCCCTGTCAACTGGAATCCCTCAGGGGACTCTGAGGCTCCTGTAAGAGCCATGTGGCATTTTCGGCCCAGAGGTCGGCAGGCAGGGGGAGGGTGTCCGGCAGACTGTGTCCACTGCCAGGCTGAGCAAAGGCTCGCTCCCGCAGGAAAAGGCACAGACACAGGGGAGCGGTCCCCAAAGTCCCCAGGAACCCCAGTGGAGGGAGACAGGACCTGCCGCCCAGGCTGGACTCTGACCACCACCAAGAGCAGGGTTCACAGAGTGATTTGCATACACACACCGGCGGGGGTGGGGGCAGGAAGGGGGCTTGACCCCCAGGGTCTGTAGACACACCCTCTAAACCTGCCTCTTGCTCCCTGCAGCTGGATCACTACCCTCGAGTGAGCCACCATCTGCCAAGTTCCTGGGACGTCCTCTTCAATTCCCCCAAGTCGCTCTTCCTGGGAAAAGTGATAGGTAAGCTCTGCTTCGCGCTCTGTTCGGTGTGTCATATGCGGCCCTCCCTTGGGAAGTGCCGGGACGAGGCCGTCCATGGTGCATGGAGACCGCATCCTGACAGGAGGCCAGGCAGGCTGTCCTCCAGGGGACTCCAGGCCCCACTGTTCCGTCGTCTTTGGGGTAGAACACTCCTAGCACCCGGAACACGAGTTTGCTTGGGAAACGCTGGGAGGGCAGGTGGATGCTGGTCCCTGAGGGGGCCTGAGCCGGCCTGGGGCCAAGAGAAGCCAGTTACCTGCTCCAGACTCTTGGTAATTGGGGTCCGCCGAGCTGTGTAGCTTCCACCCTGAGCATGTCCATGTGGACTCCCAGTATCTGAGCACAGGGCCCAAGCTCCTCTGCCCACCCCCACCCCCACCCCCAGCAACCAGGTGGTATCTGCCAACTGGAAGGCAGGCAGGAGTGAGGGCCAAGAGGCAGCCTCCTCCCCAGGGAGTGGCTGTGGGTGCCGCCACCACAGCGCTGCTCAGGGAGATGAGTGTTGTGAAGCTCGGTTCCTGGGCTGTCGTCCACGGGGAACTAGCATGCTCCAAACCTGTGTGGTTTGTTAGGGTCCAGAGAGAAGCTGAGCTCACACTCACACACACACTCACACACTCACACACTCACACACACTCTCACACACTCTCACTCACTCTCTCTCACACACTCTCACACACTCTTGTGCGCGCACACTCTCGCGCGCACACTCTCTCACACACACACACTCACACACTCACAGCAGCAAAGACTCAGTTCAAGAAAGCATGAAGTCATGTTGATGGGATGACCAGGTCCCTCTGAGAGTTGAGAAGGGTGCCTCACACAGTTCAGACACACTTCCCTCGGGGGACAAGGTAGGTCCCCCTCATGAGCTGAGATGGGGACGTTGTCTGAGGACTTCGCCCCCAGTTTTCATAGGGCAGTTTCAAAGGGGACTTCCTAACTAGCTGTTCAGTCCGTCCTTGTGTCTCGCGGCTTTCCGCTTTGTCTGGGCTGCTGCCCTCGGTCAGCAGGACTGAGTGATCCTGAGTCGAGTCCCAGGCCCAGGCTTTTCTGGGGCCTGGCTTCGAGGTGAAGGTGTTCACCAGCCAGTCCTCACAGGGTTCGCCCCTCAGCCCCTGTTCTGCCCCCCTCGGGGGTGAGTGGGGGGAAGATATGGACGAGGCCGCAGGGGTCTTCCGCTTCAGGGGAAGGCCCCCAAACGCCTTTCCTTCTGAGAAAGTGGACACGGACTGAGCCAAGCTGGAAAGAGTACGGTGGGGAGGGGCCAGGAAGGGGTCGCTCTGCCTGCTGGGGAGGGTGGGAAAGGTGGAAAGGTGGGGACCTGTAAGGCGTGGAGGGCCTGAGACCCAGGTACACCCATGGCCACACACACATTGGAGGCCGGCCTCCAATCCAAGCATGCAGACGCACCTGCACACCATGGGTTCCACCTTCAGAGGCCACCTCGCCAATGAGGGGCTGGACCCCAACCCCTCGGCCCCCCTCGGCTGTACTCTGGTTACACGTCGGATCTGAGCAGAGACACAGGAGGCGGGTCTGGGCGGCCGGCCTGTTGTGGCATCACAAGCACCGAGGCCATGAGCCACGAGGGTGCCTGGGCTGGAGATTGGGAGCCCCTGAGACATCGGGGCGCAGAATCCAGGGACCGTGGCGAGAAGCCCTGCCCTCAGGTGGCCCAGCTTCTTCCGCTGGTGGACCTGGACAGAGAGTAGACTGAAGGGCCCTGCCCACATGTCTTGTCTGGGGCGCAGGTGGCTCAGTTAGAAATGCCTCACGCCCATTGGGGAAACTGGGGCCTGGTGTCCAGGGCAGCCCCGGTGGCCCATCTGCCAGGGAGGCCTGTGTGTGGCCAGGGTGGTGAGCAGGGTCCAGGGGAGCTTCCAGACCAGGAAGAAAGGCTGGGTGATCAGTCTCTGGACATTAACCAAGGAAAGCCCTGTGGGCCGGATGGTCTGATCTGTAGCCGCCCGAGGCCTGGCAGCACCTCGTTCCCCAGCACAGGTGTCAGCCACCATGAGTCAGAGGCACGGTGTGTCAGACCTCACAGCCGCCTTTCCTGACGCATTCCTCCCCCATCAGCACCAACATGTGGCCCGCTCAGTGGTGAGGTCCATGTGATCCTGTGTGCAGCACCACTGCCACCGAGTGGATGCTGACTCAAAGCGACCTGAAGGCAGGTGCAGCTGCCCCACAGGGTGGCTGAGGCTTTCAGTCAGTATGGGAACCTCAGCTTCATCTCTCTACCAGGGGCTCGAACTGCCAACCTAGTGGTGAGCGGCCCAACGCCTAACCCACAGCGCCACTCCGTAGATAACTGCCCAGGGAGGCGCCCTCTCCCAGGGTCAGAGAGGTGGGGATGCCATGCTAGCATCTAGCATATTCCTCTTCACAGACACAGGGACCTCACATTCCCAAAGTCAAGGAAAACTCCAAACAGACTCACTGATACCGAGTGGATGCTGACTCGTGGTAGGGCAGGGCAGGGCAGGACTGCCCCTCTGGGTTTCCAAGACCATAGCTCTGTACAATAACAGGAAGTTCTGCCTCGTCTTTCTCCCACAGATCAACCAGTGGTTTTGATCTGCTGACCATGAGGTTAGTGGCCCAGCATGTAGCCCACTGAGCCACCAGGGCTCCTGGACCCTGTAATGCTCAAGGCAGGGATTCTTTACCAGTGAAGCGAAACTACAGCTTGGCTGTCAGATGATGCCTGGGTGCTGGAGGGAATTTTAAAGGTTGTCTTGGCGATTGTCTCATGGGTGCATCTCCCTCCAGCGCTCCAGAAAGTCGAGTCCATGAGAATTCCACATTCCGTTCTGCATTTCCATCATCTGGTCCAGAATCTTTGAGCAGCGCGTCCGGAGTGACTCCTGTTTTTCACTCTTTACTGTGAATCGGTGAAGGTTTACAAGCTCAGCCTGTTTCCTTTAGCATGTCACACACCTCGCGAGTCAGGCAGCTGGCTGGGACCCCACTCCGTCCCCACGTTTCCTTCTCCTCGGGAGTCCCAGCAGTCTCTCTCCGACCAGTGGGCCTGGTCTTTCTTATGCTTTTGAGTTTCATTCCACGTGTTTCTCCCGCTCTCTCCAGGACCTTCTCGGGATCCTGTCAGGGCAGCCGGGCACCGTCTAGTTCCTCTGGTCTCGGGGTCACGGGGCCCCTCAGTCCACGGGACTCGTTGTTTCCATGTTCAGTGCGCTTCACTCTCCTCTCCTCCGCCCGAGCGGAGAGACCAATCGTTGCCCCACAGATGAACACAACACACCAGAGAGCACGCAGAATGTGCCTTTGGGGGCTGCGTCGGTCTGGCTATAATCTTAGAAGCAGCTCACTGGAACTGTCTTCCCAAGTGTGGCTGGGTGGGTTCACCTGTTTGTGCTACCAAAGGCTCTCCAGTCCTCATAACACACACCCCCCTTCGTTTCTCGAAGGCCTTCACGGCCCCCATTGTACACAGGAGGGAGCCCAGGGGTCTCAGCACCACCTTCTCACCAAAGACTCTGGGGAAGGGTCTTCCTGGGAGCTCCCACCCTCTGGTGGCCCTCGCGTTCCTTAGCTTGTAGATGCATCTTCACACGATTCATCCTCTCTCTCTCTCTCTGTCTGATTGTCTATATTTCTCAGGGTCCCCTCTCCCTCATAATCTCTCTTCTCCTCCTCCTCCTCTTCCATAAAGACCCCACTCAGAGGGGGTTAGAATCCACCCTACTCCAGTACAACCAATCGCATTTTCAACAACTCCATTTCCAAACAAGATCCAGGGGTTATAGCTTCATCCTATTTGGTGATGGGTGGGGGTCACCTCTCCCCACCCTCCATCCATTGCACTGGGTGACATAGACAGAGGGTCACTCTGTATGTGAGGTGGAGAGGGGTGGACCTTCCACCCAGAGCCAGTCTCCCGCGGCCTCTCCTCTATCGCCGCTTCAGCTGTAGAAGCGAGTGGGGTCAGCCAAACATCTATTTACAGCCTGGCACTGGGCCGCGCTTGCAGGGGGAATGGGAAATACAATGCCTTTCTATAAACGGAGAAACCGGTCGGTCAATGGACTTGAGGCTGAGTCCTGCCGGTAGCCAATCTCCTAATGATGGGTCTCTTAGCAGAGAAGGCAGAAACATTGATGACTGGCAAACCTCTCGTTGGCATTTCTGGTTAGTCGCCTCTGGCTTTCACCATGACGACACTAAAGAGAAAACCCTGCCTTCACTTGGTGAAGAGGAGGGGCGGCCAAGAGGAAGGCCCGGCGAGGACACAGACTGACAGCGCGGCTTCCACAGTGGGCTCAGGCCTGGGAACCAGTGCGAGGGCCAGCCCCGGCCATGTTTCCTTCTGCTGGACACCAGGTGCTGGACACCAGCTGCTGGACACCAGGTGCTGGACACCAGGGTCACAGTCGACTCAAAGGCACCTGACGACAACAGCAACGAGAAAACGTATCTCCGTGACAGGGGAGCGAACGTGCTGACTGGAGGAGGTGTCACACCCGAGCTGTTTTCCCCTGAAGGAGAGGTGAGCTGGTCTGACAGCCGCAACTCCTCCAGACTCCCAGTGACACTTCTCTGGCTGTACCTGAGAAGTGCGGTTGTCCCAGGCTCACAGGAGACCGGCCACCCCGCCCCCTTGCACCCGATCATGCTGCAGCTGAAGGGCAGAGCCTCCGAGGCCACGAAGCTGACTCTGGGGTGTCCTGGCCCCCGGAGGCCTCCTGTGTCTCCAACAAGGACGGCCACAGGCACAACATCTGCAGCAAACATTGTGAGCCTGAATCTTTCCCGGCGTTTAGGCTGGAAGAGGGCATTAGGGGATGTGGGGGGTCACACCAGGCCCTGTCCAGCTGTGCCCACTGCTGAAAGGCTGGCTCCCTGCTTGTCTCAGCTGCAGGGCTATAACTGTAGAAAATGGACACTCATCACACCCAAATCACAGGAGTTGCTATGAATATTTAAAAGTCTCTGTAAAGCACATGCCAAGG